TAACTTATCGTATAACCTGAAACGGTATAATCATGTGTCCTTTGGATCTTCTTAGATGGGTTTGACCCTAAAATGATTTGCCTGCCTGTCTATACATATAGAACTGGGTGTTAAAAGCAAAATGGATCACAAGGGTTCCCCAGTAATCTACTTTGCTGAAGTGGACTATTAACCTTTACGCAATATATACCTTTTGATTTGTTTTAGCCCGACTTTGAAGTAATGATTTTATCCCTGAAGAGGTTGAATATGACTCAACAACCAGAATTCACACTTGATTATAGAATCTGGTTTACTGTTGAAAACTGTATGGTAACTCTATATATGTTTCTTTTCTAGATTTTAACGTGCTTCGGTCAATATACAAATGTATATGTACAACCAAGTCTAAATTGAAAACAATGTTCAAATGTGTATGTATATAGTATAAACACTCATCTACTGTTGACGACCACATGTTGACCTCAAGATGTCTTTCAGTTTTCGTCTTTGGATTGCTGTCTCATTTCCAAATACCATGACTTTTAATCATATATAGCAGTGTGCATCATTGAAAATAGGTAAAAGTAATGCCCCATTATGGTAAAACATTTACAAACATTTTATGACTTGTCCAGCATTTTCAGTGATAACTCTATTTCTTTCTACTTTTAAACTGTATCTGTGCAGTTGAATATATTTTTGATAAACCATATGTTGATTTAAATTGGGGTATTTGATTTTTCACGAAAGTACTTCAAAATACATGTACTGCAAATTCAGAAATTATTGCGAATGTGACTGGCTGACTATCCCATTAATAAGAATTGCATTCTGATATCTTATACATATAAATGTATGCAGATTTTTATGAAATCACATTTATTAATCTCACATTTTTGCTCATTCTTCAAAAATCGCAATAATAAATGCACGCAATTATTTTTGGACTTACAGTACAGTACTCAAGAGTTACTTCATAGGAGAAATAGATTCTGCCAATGTATCAGCTCTCAAGAGTAAAACATATATTTTTTTTTTAATTCAATCATCTTCAGGTAAAATAATGTTAAGTCAGAACTGTTTTCCAACACTAATGTACCAATAAAGAATGAATTATGAAAATATCCCCTTGCTTAAATTTAATCTCTAGGCATGAAACAAATCAAAGATAAAAATAAAACCTTGCAAACAAGTTTGGCCCTTTAATTAAATCACAAAATTTAAACTCTGAGAAAACAAACCACTTTACATTATCATTAGCAAAGAATATCTGAAGATGTGTTTGAACACTATTTTATGCTGGAAATTCATACAACGTCTGATGTTTCAAAATTTGACATTACCTTTACCGCTATTTCATGTTTTATTTGACCAAGGAGGTCTGTACTCTGCTACCATAAATTTGTTTTCATGGCATCTGATGCATCAGTGTGTTTGTAGTGTTTCTATTTCAAACCATGAAGTCAATTTTTAGATTGATAAGCATTACCAAGATGTACAATCAAAACCAAGTGATGGGTAAACCTGTACCTGTTTTTGCTAATATTAAACCCTTCAACTAATGAATTGTACCCCTTTTCTACAAAAAAATTCAATAAGTTTAGTTTCTTTTTCCTGTAAGGTAATGTAATTCGCCCACCTCCATGCTTAAAATGCTTCAACAAATGTAATTTAAAAAAGAATTGAAGTAGTAAATCTGGTAAAGTTTCCTTTGTTTATCCATTAGTTCGTTTTGACTGTACAACATAATAATCTGCCCAAAGCCAATTGACACACTTGTGATGCTTATGAAATGGTCCAATTTCCATTGGACATTGTTTTGAAGAACTGGCATTTAAAATAAATGCAGTTTTAAATATCTCTTCTATTCATAATTCATAGTGTATTTTTTAAGTGATTCAAACACACCAAATTTATAGGGTGTCATTTCATTTTGAGGACATTCCTTTGCAATGAACATCATCAGACTTGTGTTCAAAGCTCTACAAGAATTTGTCCCAAATGCTAATTTTACTTTCCAATAAAATGCTCCGCTGGGGCGCAGCCTGATACGACTGCAGAGGTCGAACCCTGAACAGTTGGGGCAAGTATGGACACAACATTCAAGCTTGATACAGCACTGAATTTGGATTGTTATTAAAATATTTGACACAGCATAGGTTTCTGACACAGAATGAATGTGGTCTAAGAACTTAATTTTTTTTTAATTTACCTATTCAAACCATATCATTATTATTTGCTTTTATATATAAATCAGAAATAACCAATTTAAAATGGAAAATTTTAAAGAAAAAAAGGGAAAAAAAATCCCCCCCAAATTTTTTGAACCCCCTTATGATTCATCACCCCCCAAAATCAATCCCAGCCTTCCCTTTGTGGTATGGTACCTTGCAGTACAATTTCAGAGAGATCCATACACTTGATCACAAGTTATTGTCTGGAAACTAGAAAAATGCTTGTTTTTTGGCCCCAAATTCCTAAACGTTTAGGGCAATTACCCCCAAACTCAAACCCAGCTTTCCCTTTGTGATATGGAACCTTGTAGTACATTTTTATAAAGATCAATACACTTACACACAAGTTATTGTCCTGAAACTAGAAAAATGCTTGTTTTTTTGCCCCTTTATGGCCCCTAATTCCTAAAATTTTGAGGCAATTACCCCCAATATCAATCCCAGCCTTCCCTTTGTGGTATGGTACCTTGCAGTACAATTTCAGAGAGATCCATACACTTGAACACAAGTTATTGTCTGGAAACTAGAAAAATGCTTATTTTTGGCAATTACCCCCAAACTCATTTCAAGCTTTCCCTTTGTGATATGGAACCTTGTAGTACAATTTCATAAAGATCCATACACTTACACACAAGTTATTGTCATGAAACTAGAAAAATGCTTGTTTTTTGCCCCTTTTTGGCCCCTAATTCCTAAAATTTGGAGGCAATTACCCCCAAAATCAATCCCAGCATTTCCTTTGTGATATGAAACCTTGTGGTACAATGTCAGAGAGATCCATACACTTACACACAAGTTATTGTCATGAAATAAGAAAAATGCTTGTTTTTTGCCATTTTTGGCCCCTAATTCCTAAAATTTGGAAGCAATTACCCCAAAAATTAATCCCAGCATTCCCTTTGTGATATGGAACCTTGTGGTACAATGTCAGAGAGATCCATACACTAACAAACAAGTTATGTCTGGAAGTTACAAAAATGCTTATTTTTGGCCCCTAATTTCTTAACTGTTGGTACCATAACCCCCAAAATCAATCCCCACCTTCCTTTTGTGGTATTGAACCTTATGGTAAAATTTCATAGAGATCCATTCACTTAAACTAAAGTTAGAGTGCGAAAACCAATGTGTCTTCGGAGGATGACGACGACGCCAACGTCATACCAATATATGACCGCAATATTTTTTTGCGGTCGTATAAAAATCAACAGTTGTCAACAAGTAACATGTATATATTATTATTCTGAAAAGAGTTTTCAAAGCCTCAACAAAGCTAATATGACCTCAAAACAAAAGATTTTCCTTCAATTACATTCCAGGTCAAATAAATGATCCAAGATATTATAAAGCAAATGAATCCAACAAACCAATTCCACAACCTAATAAACACATAGAAATGTTCAAATCTAACACCTTACTTCCATAATCTGTTATTGTTCATTTGAAAATGTGTTATTGTTTGCTGGTGAAAAACTTAGGTAATGCCCCCTCCAAGAAACCATTAACTTTTGTTATGGACATTTTAGTGGATCATAAACACTGAAAATTGAAAATTCTGAAAATTTTTAACTTCTTTTTTATACTTAAACTAAGCAGTTATCTAAACAAAAGGACTTTTTAAATCACATGAGAACAATGGATAAAAACACCCACTAGTGAACATTTTTTCGCATCTTTTTTATCATTCTAAATTGCTTTGTACAAAGACCTTTAATACATATAACAATTTAGCAGTAAAAAGGGTAAAAAAATCTATCAAATTAAAAATAACAGATCCCATATAGTTTTTTAACTTATAAAAAATCTTCAATGATCACTGTAATTTGATCTTGTTTTCTCCTTATATTAATCCACATGCTTATAAAACTTAAAATTTCTGAGACATGTTTGAAGAGTTTTAAAGTGTACTTAAATTATCTCCCTTTGACAATTTTGTTTCAATCCATTGAACTATGACCTCATGTGCAAATCATTTATAATTGTGCTTGTCAAATTGTATGAAACTTTAAAAATCTGTTCATTTTCTTTTTTGGTGATTGTGAAAATATCCCACCTACCATTTTGAAATCATCAGCAGACAATCACAAATTTTCAAATTAAGTGTTCTGTCCAAATTCAAAACTATTCCATGAGAACTTATAAACAGAACTAAAAAAGATCGGTGAATTATTCGTTTATGTATTGTAAACTCGCTTTCAATCATGTTACACATTAAATACAAAGTACAAACCATTTTATCAATAAACAATGTGTTTATTTCTGAAAAAGAGAATAAATAATTAACATACATACATGTACAATATATATAGATACAAAGCAATTAAATGTTAATTTAAAATAATCTGAGTTCAAAATGCTTTGTTGAAGTATAGGATTTTCCTGAACAAAATAGTTTTATAAAAAATTAAAACTTCAGATGTATACTTACCTGCACATGTTTCGAGTCATAATCACTGAGAGTAAAATAGAACTTGTATGCTTTGCTATGGCTATTCCATTAAAATGAATGTAGGGGAGAATAACGGAATTTAAAAAAAATTCCCCACAAACCAACACATCTCGGTGGAAAGTTGTCTCAATAGCAATTATACCAGATCTCCTTATTATTTTTATATCATATCTTTACCAACTAATTTACATACATGTTAATTGACCCAATCCCCATGTCCAAAAATAAAACTTCCCAATCCACCTTCATTTTAATGGAATGGTCCTAAATGAATTATGATATCAATCTATTTATACTCCAAAAATTAACTAGTAAGTAACGAGTAAAGCTTGGGATACAGTTCTGGATCTTTACGCAGGAGATCTTTGTACATTTCATCATATGTTGTGTTGAAATCGTAGATGTTGGGTTTGTCTAAAGATGGACCTGGTAACTTAACCTGGTTTCCTGTTCCAAATGACCTCACTCTGTATCCTCTTTTACTGAAAAAAAAAATAAAATAATGAAACAAATTTATCAAGGCTTTCTATCAAGAGTTATTGACATACATGATATACTTTTTTACATGCTGATTTTGATATTTTTTAAACCTTCATGCCCCATTTATTTTAATAGTCCCCACTTAAAATAAATGGAGAATGTGTCTATGGGCCACATATGCCCCCACTTGTAAATATGCATGAGTCAACTTCCACATACAGATGCAGGATTCACATAGTTAAGACCGTTTTGTGATTATAAGCATTGTGTATAAGTTTCATAACATTTGGTTTAGGCAAACTAAAGTTAGAGAACGGAAACCAAATTTGTGGACGTACGGACGGGACGGACAAGGTTAACACTCTGCTACGGCATGGACATAAAAACAACTCTTAAATCTATTTTTCTATACACATCTATCCTGACATGATATGAAATGACTAATATTTTTTGTGAAATAACCTCAAAAATGTGGTGCACTTTTAAATAACCCGCTACGCTGGTTATTCAGTGTGCACCACATTTTTGATGTTATTTCTTCATAGACAGAAAAAATATTACAGCCATTCCTTAAACATGTTAAAGGCTCTGTGTTGAAGACCGTACTTTGACCTATAATGGTTTACTTTTATAAATTTTGACTTGGATGGAGAGTTGTCTCATTGGCAAAATCCCATGCAGTGATCTGGAAGGATTTTTTCTCTATGGGCCCAAGGCCCCCCAAAAATAAATTCAATGGGCCATTTTTAGAATTAATGGGCCATGTTGTCAAATGAGTGGGCCATTCGTTTACAATAAAAAAAAATAATAAAAAAAGTGTATATTTCACTATACTTACAAGTATGATTCTAATTAATATCATGGATATTGTTCCTGTGATTTTGTAATTTCAATTTCAATGAATATACAATAACTTCTTCCAAACCGAGCAATATTTACGATAACCTTTATTTACAATGTTAAAACTGGTACTGTTCCCTTGTTCATGTTCATGTTTTTTTTTACATTAAATTTGGGTCTTAGTCGATACCATACTTATTCCAGACGTTCCATATTAGAGGACGTTTCTGGCATTTCCTCTGCACTTGTATTATTATTACTTCATCACGATGACAAGATAACAGTAGAGAGCAACGTTAATTGATAAGACACAACAACAATTCGCTGAAGGCATGTTTACAAAATGTCAAAACGAGCCAAAGACCAAAAAAATTGACAAGGACAGTTAAGCCCCTTTTATGGAGACAAATACTATGCTATTCATAAAAAGGCTTTTGAATTTTTCAATCGAAATAATAGCAAGCTTACTTAAAAGATTATAATTAGAGAAGAATTCTCGCCTGTACTAGCCAATTTTCACAAATTTAAAGTTGTTTATAAAAAATTATATCATGAATGATGGTTATTACGTTTTTTGGGTAATCAGTCATACCGCATGTTGCTATTATTACCATAGGAAAACACCCGAGACGTCCCAAAAATATATAGGTGCTCCTATCATTGGAGTAAACACTACACAGTTGTGTACTCACACATGGCGTCACGAAATACGATCCGAAATCCATTTGACGATACCTCAATGTTTCAAAACGAAGTGAAAAATATCATGTTCCACGCGGGCGCTTACATTTGTCACTCTATGCACCATTTCTGGTCGATAAGCGCAATTGGCGCAAGGCGCACGTCCTTCCCTATCACTGCCCATGTTAAGACACCTTCCCTCTGTGTGTAAACACTGCTATATTTGTCAATTCTTTCAAATGAACCTTAATTTTAACTGGTTTAAACAGGGGAATTCCACAACACTCAAATTAAATAGTGATTGTTAAAAATTACAACAAAATATAAAGAGTAAGTACTAAAAATTATGGTACATGTAGAATCATCAATGTAGGTAGGATTCAAAGTATTTTTTATTAGGCCTTAGTCAAATAAAATTCCAAAAAATTTGTCCTCAACAAAGTAGTCAAGGGAAATAAAATGTAACTCCAACAAAAAAAATAGGTCTATACAATGGACTATTTTTTTTACATACAAGTTACAACAGTGGCTACCTCCGTTCCCATTATATATTTGCTGGTAATAACATGAAAACAAAGGGGGAGGGGCTAATTTTCATGTTAAAATAATTGATAATGTACTTAACTATATTATCGATAGCATAATTCTTCTATGAAATCTTATAGCTTAGTTCACAGTAAATAAATATTTTGCGAGTTATCTATAAAAATATTTTTGAAAGCATAATTCTTCTATTAACTCTCATAACTCAGTGATTAAATTTTTAGCGAATTATCTTTAAAAATATATAGGTGAATTCTTATAGTTCTCAGTAAATAATTTTTTTTTTTGCAAATTATCTTATAAATATATAGGTGAATTTTTCTAATCTGTATAAATATACTAAATTTAAAATCAGAAGACCTAAAACTTTAAACTTTCCAATGTAAAAAGTCACATAAAAACTTTGAACTTCCCATGTATAATAAAAACTGTAAACTTCCCATGTAAAAAGTCATAAAAACTTTAAACTTCCCATGTAAAAAGTCACAAAATCTTTAATCTTCCCACATAAAAACTTAACTTCTCATGTAAAAAGTCATAAAAACATTAAACTTCCCGATGTAAATAATGTTTTTGTGTTGTGATTTTTAATTTTCATTATTTTGTATATTTTTGGAGGTGGAACTGTTCAACATACGTAAGTATTGTTACCCTATAAAGGGTGTAAAGATCCAGAGAAGAAGCTGGACCTCTTTCTTAACGAACTTCATTCCAAAATTATGACGGAACAGACTGCTTGCATTGATAATAAACAACAGAACGAATAACCTCCCCTTCACTTGTGACCTTGACCCCGTATTATCAACAATAGCCCCTTCCCCCTTTATTTTCATGTTAAATCAGTGAAGTATTTAGTGTTTATTATAATCCCCTTTCTCACCTTAAGAAACTATGAGCTTCCATACTCCTGTTCTGATTACTCGAACAGACAACAGCGACTTTCATTTCTACGCCCATTGTTTATTTCCTTATCTCGCTCAAACTTCGAATATTACGAGAAAGCAGAATATAAAGTATATGAGCTGTGAAAGTGAACGAAATCAAGAAACCTAAAAGATAGAATTAACCCTTAAAATGTGCAGATTACTGTTGATTGAATACAAGAGATTTTTCATCAAATGTTCCGTTTATTCAAACCGGATGTCGGATGTAGAAATAATTTTTCGGATTTCAATGTGCTAAAACGAATTCTTGCTGAAATCAAAAATGGGGAAAAAAAGGCTACGTTTGTACATTATTCGTTGGGAAATCACCGATACTCTTTTTTTATATAATTTCTTTCATTTTTTTATCTATTTGTTCTGCTTTGTATTAATGCCAAGTATTTATTTAATAACATATAAATTAAGTACAGATAGAACGAAGTAATTTTTTCATCATTTGCAAATGATTTGTGACATATACTGTATTGTTTTTCACTATTTGAAATATATATCATCATCGTATTCTGAAAAACTAATAATAAAATGTTCTTCATCATCAACATGTTCAAGCAAATAATTTAGAACTAGTCTTTTTTAACCACGGCAAGCCTTGATCTGGCCTCTTTCTATATTTACCAGTAAAGTTGTATCATATTAATTTCGATATCATGGGCACCGATTCTCATTTTACATTAAGCGCTTCTTACCAGAAAATTGTTTAAAAGAAATAAGTAACTTGCGTATTTACCCCTTTTTATCAGTTCTTTTTTTCTGTTCCAAAATGTTTTACAAGTTTTTGCGTGTAACTGATTTAATTGATACAACAATTGAACGGTTTTAAACGTCACGGTACATTTTGCATAAATTGTATATATATGTTAGAGCTTTTGGAAAACTAAATGTTCATTATGATCCTTCTTTGCTCCAAATAAGTTTTGGGGACTTAATGGAGATAAAATAAGATCATGATTCGTTGACTGTACAGAAAAGGAAAAAAAAAAGCACTCCGACCTTTTTGTGGTAGTGGTGAGTAGCTAAAACATTCAGTACCCCACAGAGGCGGTTTTATGGGGCATTCATATTCATATATGATGAATGCATAGACTTTTTACAAGTATCAATCCAAACGTTGGTTTGCCATCCCCTTTCAAAATCCTGGATCCGCACTGACCTACCTTACTCTTTTCACATATTTTGAATAACAAAAAATACATATCCAGAGCTCCAGATAAGAATTCACAAATTGGGGTTTTTACCCACCATTTTTTTATGTAATTGGGTGATAAAGTTTTTTAATTGCATTATCAATTCCAATTCACCCCTCACGCAAATATCATATTGGGTTTTTCACCACCAAGCTCCTTAATGTATTGGGTTTTTTCATCAACACAATATTGAATATTTAGGCATGTTATAATCACATTATATCAACCCCAGATGTGTTTCCATCTTAAATGTGTTTCTTTCTTTGTAGAATATGTGCTAGCTGTTTTATTTGGTTTATTCACTGACGAGCAATTGTACATTTAATTTGTGTCCCGTTTTTAACGTTCTGTCAGTTTGGTATTTTCTCAAAAAACTTATGTAAACTGCAGCTGGTGTCACTAGTTGGACAGGAACTAATTGCCTTTCTAGATCCCATATGATCACCCTACAGTTTAATTATAGTTGGGGTAGGTGTGGCTAAGTGTTTAGATTTTTGTGTAATATATGTGAAATTTAGGTGCTGTAAGAAAGTTTTGCCAGTCCTTTCACCTATTTGCCAGATCTACTTTTTAATAAAAATAAAAAGTAGTTTCCAGATTTAAGATATACCCCCAAAACCTTAAATTTACAAATAATTCTGCAACATCAAGTAAATAAATGACAATGTTATACTGCACTTGCCAATAAGACAACTATCTTAAGCATCTAGAACAATTAGACCAAAAACAAAGAAAGTGTCAAGCTGCATTGACGTAAAAAATGGATATGTGTATTCACTCATCAACTAAAATGAAAAAAATAATATATAAACTGTTTTCGATTTACATAAATCTGGGTTAAGTTGTCCCTTAATTATCAGATCTTTTGGTTTCCGATGCTTTCAAACTACATATCATGTCATAATTAATTTGGCCAAGGATTTGTATAGTCCACTATACAAATCCTTGATTTGGCCTTTCACTTTTTCCAACTGATTTCGTTTTTGACGGAACCCCGTGTTTATCGCTCTAGCAATGTTCTCGTTATGGTACGCAAACACGCCCGTGCGTTCAATGGCCGCTTACTAAAATCACTAGCTGAGTCTTGTTATCATCATAACTTTCCCTCAGCTATCAAAAAGAAGCTGAAAACATGCTTCTATTCAATATTTTTACCGGACATTTACTTTCGTTTTAATTCATTGTATGTTATGATAAATCACGAGCAATTCGAAAAAATATGACAGCATGTCACACGCTAATTGGATAAACGCCGAGAAGATCGAAATGTTTTCATAAACACGTGTACCTTTTGAGCAACGGAAAATTCCAACAAGGACCCATTACAGCTACTTGATGCAGGGCTCTATTTTTAGAACGAAAGGACATTTCCAATTATAAATATTATAAAAATAGATTTACGCGACGACTGTAATCAAGTAAGGGTAAATAACGCAAACGATAGCGAATAAAAGCGTTAAGAACCCATGTTTTTGGCATATAATTGGGTTTTCCTTTGAATTAATTGGGTTATTGAACCCTGCAATGGGCAATTGTATTGGGTTTTTAATTATTTTTATTGCGTGATCACGCAAATACGCAGCTTATCTGGAGCTCTGATATCCTATCATATATTTTTTACAGAAGATATACCTATATATAACTATCATACTTACGCTATTTCATAGATAGATAAATAGTTTTGACAAATAACGAAGAATTTATAACAGTGGTTTTAATTGCATCTGTAAAAAAATCATCATCTGATTCAGTATAGTCACAATTAAGTTAAGATATTTGTGATTTAATCAGCAGCCTTATCAGATATTTTTCCTTAATTTTTCGACTTTAACATATATATCATGAAACTGAAAATATAGTGACCTATTCCAGCGACTCATCCCATACCACTCAGAAAGTGCCCCTCCTCCCTAATTCCCCCGCGCCCCCGGCCACACACGAGCTTATTACATATTGGTGCATGTTTTGTATACATTTTGACTATTGTTTAAAACGTTAATTTAGTGAAAATGTATACAAAATTTATACAAAACTTTTGTTTTAAGTTAGTTGGGTTTTTTTTTTGTGTGCTTCGTACCGGTCTATTGAGTGAAGCCATCAGTTACAACTGAATTTTTTACAATAGAAAAACAAAGGATATTTACAGTTTGTTTTAATGTTGTGCTGTTACGTACTCAAATCTCAGGTTATGGGGATTGAGCGCTCACAAACATATGTTTTACTCCGTCACATTCTTTATGTTACGCCTGCCCGAAGTGAGGAGTCTGTTAATAGTTTATGTATACAAATTAAATAACGACTGTTCCTTTTTGCTATGTATGTATAACATTTTCCTTCCGGCTAAAATGAATGACTAAAATATGGGTTACTATAGTATTTGACTTTAAATGTATTTTTTTATCCTTTTTATCTGTATGTATAGCATTGTATATATTATTTTAATTTTAAGAGGTTTGCAGTTCATCTATAGATAAACTATAACATGTATAAGCTATGTAAAAATAAGGAGATGTGGTATGATTGCCAATGAGACAACTATCCACCAAAGTTCAAATGAAGTGGATGTTAGCAATTATAGGCAACCGTAGTGTCTTTAACAATGAGAAAAACCCATACCCGGTATAGTCGGCTATAAAAGGCCCCGACATGAAAACATGAAACAATTCAATTGAGAAAACTAACTGTTTTTACTAATTGTAGTGCACCAAAACTGGATTTTACCTATAAATTTTTTTAAATTATCCATTCATAAAATGAAATTTAAATTAAATTGTATTCGTAAAAGGGTGTTCCTATAATAACCATGATAATAGGAGAAGCGGATACAGAAAGATCATGCGAATCACAAGTAACCGATATCTTGTACACCAACTAGCTCAAAACAATGATAAAAATATACAAACTGATCTAGTAATCATGGATTTTGACAAAGCATTTTAAAAAGTGCCACACATGCAAACGCTTACTTACAAATTATACTGAACACTACGGCATTTCACTGGATCAGACAGCACAATTAAGAGATTAAACCACTAGCTCCTCTCCAAAACGATTGTCATGATTACTTCAAGAAGTCATCGAACTTGAGCAGTTAAACAACGGGAGAATGACTGGCTCATGTCATTCCACCCGGACAAATGTAACTTCCTTATATATAGAGTCAAAACAAAGAAAAAACAAAAACATTTCTATTACAATATGGCATGGCCATATCCTACGGAACAAGTCCAATCAGCAAAATACTCTAGGCATTACACTTTCTTCAAATCTCAAATGGAACAAACATATACAACAATCAGCAGCAAAGGCAAATCAATCCTTATCATTTATCAGACGAAATCTAAAAAATAACTCGAAATTAGCTATAGTTCAAATTGAAGGAAAGAGCCCGCTTATCAAACTATAGTAAGACCAAAATTAGAATATTGCTACACAGTTTGGGATCCACACACTTCAGAGAATACATATAGACTGGAACAACACAGGCACTTGTCCTTGAAATTTGTTTTCCCTATATACCCTAATATAATTAAGGTATGTCAATCAATTAGAACTAGCTCTAGTACTGTACCAACTTGAGAAGTTGGAAAGAAGCACAAATTATTTAACGCTATTTTTAAAAAGGGCTCACCTAAACTAAATGTGAAAAAAAAAATAGTATAAAAAATGTAAAAATTAAAAGTTAAATAAAAATTCAAATTTAGTTGTTTAAATCAGAATATTGAAATCCGGTCAATTTAAAAGTCAACTGATCTGTTCATTAATTTTCACTTCGCAAAAAAATATTTGAAATTTCGAATGTAATTTTTATTTCAAGTTCTGCGCAGGCGTACGCACATTGGTCGCCATTTGTATGAAACGTGCAAAGGAAGACAACGATGTGATAGAAGATCTTTGTTGTTGTTTGACAATAAACATTTTGCCTGAATAAATAATAAAGCAAATCAAACACATACAATCTATTGGCACAACTGTAAGTCTGGTAGTAGCGCGTTGTTTAGGTTAAACGCACTTAAAAGTTCGTTTCAAAATAATCTCCCTTGCTACTAAATGTGAGCTTTTGAAAGCTCCCCCTTTTTAGATAGGCTGTTCAAAAAAAAAAAACTCTGAAAAATTGACATTATGTGAAACCAATTATTTTACGACGATATGACATGCGGGTTATAAGCTGCTAGAATAGGCACCAGCCATTCAATGATTCATCTTTTCTGGTGGAAACTTGACAAAAAGGGGGTATATATTTTATCTTAATTTTTTGAAAAAAAAATGTATCAGATGGGAAGTGAAAAAAATATTGTTACTATTTAGAATTAAGAAACAACGATTTCTTGACAAAAAAATTCGGAGTTTTTATTTTTTCTTTAAATTTTAAAATGTTTGTTTTGATACTGATGGTTTTCTTCAAATTTATTTGGCAATCATACCACATCTCTTTATTTTATATATTGGAAGGAGAAAAATAATTATGTTCCTTCAAAACATAAGTGATTTGTGCAGCAAATTTAGGCTTCGCCACATATCCTGAACCAGTCCATCAGATCAGCAATATATTTCAATAATTTAACTTTTTTTTTATTTTAATCAACAAAGCTTGGTGTATTAATCAGAATTCTATAATACACTTTATCGCTATTTGGAATTCTGTCCCGCTTGAACCGTTGACGTCATACAACAATCATTTTTCCATTGTGGTGTCAGATATTTTGTATTAAGACGTCAAATATTTATGGGAACCTTTGTGATGTCCAGTAATGGCGGACAAATAGCAATAAGATGTATTATTTAAGTGCACCATTTCATATTGTATGCCAATACACAGATTATGGCTATCAGTTATGAGTAGACCATGTATTTAAACTTTCTAATTGAGTGTTGCAGAATTTTTTTTTGACAGTAATGAGGTTAATTATTTGTTTAAAAATGTATCGGAACCTCTGAATTCAAATGAATTAGATTGGGAACAATAGATCAAATAGCATAAAACTAACCGCAAATCCATAGATATAGAAATAAGGAGATGTGGTATGATTGCCAAGGAGACAATCTACCCACCAAAGTTTAAATGACAAAGATATAAAGCAATGAGAAAAACCCATCGCTTTAGTCAGCTACAAAAGACCCTGAACAAAAATGTGAATTAAAACTAGAAAACTGTCAGCCTGAATGAAAAATGTAAAACAGTTCAAACAAGAAAACTGTTAGCCTAATTAATATCAATATAATTCGGTTCTATCGTACATGAGGTAGTTGGTGCAATAAAGGGGGGAGGGGGAGTGGTGATTTACCGTAGATTATATATAAACTACCTTACATTGCTTTAAAGATATCATTTGAACCAGTTATTATTGAGAAAGTCTGAAAGTATTTTTAACTTTACAGGAAATGATTATAGGGAATATTACAGGATTTGCCAAAAAATTCAGCGCAAACGACTACTTCATTTAACAATATTAGTCTACTCTTAAAAACAAACTTACAAACAACACATGAGTTAAGTAGCCTGACATAGTATAGGCACAATATATGGTGTGGGTTAAACCAGTTATACCTGTTCACAAACCTTCCCTATAAGCATATCTTTAATGTATGCTGTAAGATAGAATTTCACAATAAAAAATCTACATACTGCAGCTAGCTTAAATGTGTTTGTTTGCCAGAAAAATGTTATAAAAAATTGTACAAGTCATGTCAAGTGTCTGAGGCATGTAAAATGTATTTAAGTATTGTTTATACCATCACCTGCATAAATCTAAGAGTGTGGATTGCAATTCAATTTATTATACTTTAGGTTAAAATGCCAGATTTTGATTGGTTAATACAAGGGAGATAATTTACTCTATCCCATTGCAAAAACTTTATTAATACAGTCAGGGGTACTACTTGTACAAGTAATTTTTATTTACTTGAAGAAGTAAATATTAATATACTTGTAGCAGTAAATTTGTAAGATACTTATACTTGTGTATTTTATTTACTTGTATAGGTAAATTATTTTATTGGCTTAGTTATGTCCCTTAGACATTCAGATATTTTACTTCCATGTATATAAGTAAAAAAAGTCATACTATCTTCTTTTCTTGAATTTCTCAGGACTTCTTTGCTCTAATAGAATTTTTAATTGTCTGTCCTTTGCAGTTGTCTTTACTTATCATTTAAGTGTAATTTCATGGACAATGAAAATCTCATTTGTCTGTTATCTTCAGAACACTGCTCATTTACAAGCCCCCAAGGGGCAATTTTTGAAGGCCTTGCACAATTACTTGAGATATTTGCGCAATTAGTTTCTCTGCTGAATTAATGAGATGGAACATTGAACTCTAATAAAAAATTATGAGCTAACATGAGAAAAATTGTTAAAGGCATGTTTTTACATCTCAAAACTTGAGAATTTTCGGGATTGTAAAAAAAAATTATACAAGTAAATTTTTAAGAAAATTAAGGGGAGATTATTCAAACATTATAAGGAAAAATGAACAAAACAAAATTTACTTATATAAGAATATTAATATTTTCTTCTTCAAGTAAATAAGGATTACTTGTACAAGTAGTACCTCTGACTGTATTACCCTTCACAGAGACGCTTGATCACTTGTGCGCTTTATTAAATATGGATGGTTGCTATATACAAGACGTCATAGTTTATTACTTTGAATTTGAAATTTAAAATTTGATAGACAGCAATAACAGAACATTCAGTATAATAAATTAAATAACATGTACACATATCTGAGAGGATGATTGAGCAGATTGTTATCCCTTGAAAAGATATTAACCTTGGCTTTCTCAGAGTAACAATCTGCTTAGTCCCCCTCTCAGTTATGTGTTATTAATAGTGTTTCAGTTAATCTTAGCACTAATATTAGGGTGTGTTTGAGTAGTCATTCACATACATGTACAGACATTTTATAATTATCTGTAAATGAACTTTCAAAGATCATAATTTCATCTGTTTGTTTTTGGAGAAAAAAATGTTTAAACATTCACCAATCACAAATTGAAAAAATAATGTGACATTTCAGGAAATACAAAATATAAAAAAAAAAAATCTGCAGGTCTTTTAACCAAAATCATACCAGACAAACATGACAAAATGCTTAATTGTCCTAAACATTTCTTTAGAACTTCAATCAATTTTGTTTTTGGTTTATGTCCAGCCGGCAATATTTTGTTGGCGTTTGCGGCAGCATTAACATTTTAGGTTCAGTCTGTGGTTGATTTTTTTAATGATTAATAACTTTGTCAAACCTTGTGGAATTTTACGAATTTGGACAGAAGCTTTTTTATGGTCAAAAGACAGTATTCAGAGCAGAGTTTGGAAAATATTTTTTTGTTCTTTCTATATAAATGATATATTACTGACTTTTTCCAGTTAACATTTAGTTGTAAAAAAGATTCTGAATTTTACTGATAAATGGACTTCACAATTGATCTTAAATATAAATTAATATTATACATATTGACAATTATTGAATATGATAGGATACATTGATAATTAAGAAAATTATGATAGTAAAACTATTCATATAAATTTCAGATCCAACAATGACTTAGAGGGCTTTACAATCAACAGCTATGATGGATGGTGGTGTTGCCACAATGCCCATGGGAAGGCCATTCCCGCCAGGAAATTTCCAGTATATGCCTCCCAAGCCAAATCATCAACAACTACAGAAGCCACCTAGTTACCAACAGCCACAACAGAATGCCACCCAGCAACCACCAAGTGGTGTGGATCCAAGCAAAGACCCAAATCAGGCAGCCGGTCAGGTGGTTATGTTTGATGGTAAACGGATGAGAAAAGCTGTACATAGGAAAACAGTTGATTATAATTCTGCAGTGATTAAATATATAGAGGTATTATATTACTAATGCTATATCTAAGATTTATATAAAAATAAGGTTATGTGGTATGATTGCCAATGAGAACTTTCCACCATAGACCAAATGATGTAAAAGTTAGCAACTATAGGTCATCATATGGCCTTCAAATATGAGCAAAACCCATATGGCAAAGTGAGCTATTAAAGACCCAGACATAACAAATGTAAAACAATTTAAAACAGAAAACTAACAACACATTATCATGGAAAAAAAATAGCATCATTAAGGTAAAAATTATGTTTTACATGTACAGAACACACAAGATGATTTAGTTAATCGCTGAGTAGGTAAACAGTGATTGCTAGTGATAGAATAAATAGAGAAAACATTTTTGTACATCTGAATGTGTAAAAAGATACATCTGAATGTTTTTTAGGGCTCCCTAAGGAAATAAAAAAATGTGAAATATAAATTTTAATTGTTTATTTCTTTTAGCTGCGATCATGGCAGATGGATAATTATCTAAACCCACCAACAATTCAGTTTTTATTTAACCTTTTGACCTTCAATTATGCCTGTACAATTATGTAGAAAAGCTCTAATGTATAAATACTGTATTGCAGAATCGATGTTGGCAGAGAGATTATAGAGATGTGAGAGCTGTCATGCCAGATTCTTTGTACCAGATAGATGTAAGTGTAGTCTTTATTGCAACAGACATTAGAGAGTTGATACCAGTATAATAAAATTGAGAATGGAAATGGGGAATGTGTCAAAGAGACAACAACCCGACCATAGAACAGACAACAGCAGAAGGTCACCAACAGGTCTTCAATGCAGCGAGAAATTCCCGCACCCTGAGGCGTCCTTCAGCTGGCCCCTAAACAAATATATATACTAGTTCAGTGATAATGAACGCCATACTAAACTCCAAATTGTACACAAGAAACTAAAATTAAAAATAATACAAGACTAACAAAGGCTAGAGGCTCCTGACTTGGGACAGGCGCAAAAATGCGGCGGGGTTAAACATGTTTATGAGATCTCAACCCTCCCCCTATACCTCTAGCCAATGTAGAAAGGTAAACGCATAACAATACACACATTAAAATTCAGTTCAAGAGAAATCCGAGTCTGATGTCAGAAGATGTAACCAAAGAAAATAAACAAAATGACAATAATACATAAATAACGACAGACTACTAGCAGTTAACCGACATGCCAGCTCCAGACTTCAATTAAACTGATTGAAAGATTATGTCTTCATCATTTGAATATCAGGCACAATCCTTCCCGTTAGGGGTTTAATATCATACCATCATAACATATATGAGAAGAACATAACCTGTGTCATGCCAACAACTGGTTTTTAAATAAATGTGTTTAGTGCCGATGCAAAGACCCTATAAGTGAATCAATATTAACGCCAAAATATGCAATCTTTAATGACCTGACAACAGTATCGTAACTATATCCCTTCTTAATAAGTCTATTTAAAGGTTTTGTTAGCTTCAGAGGTGAATACTGACATTTTTGTGCTTTATAAAGAATATTTCCATAAAAAATTGGATGTGAAATACCGAACGTATAAGAAGTCTGCATGTTGAGCTATATTTACGAATGATGTCCTTATACCGATGATAAAATTTAGTAAATGTTTTGACTAGTTTGTGATATCGAAAACCCTGGTGTAATAATTTTTCAGTAATACATAAATTTCTCTCGTTATAATCTAAAACATTGTTACATACAAGAGCGAATCGTACAAGTTGAGATATATAAACACCGTAAGATGGTGACAAGGGAACGTCACCATCTAAAAATGGATAATTAACGATAGGAAATGAAAAATCATCTCTTTTATCATATATTTTAGTATTAAGCTTTCCGTTAATGATATAGATATATCAAGATCGAGGAAAGGGCAGTGGTCATTGTTAGTATTAGCTTTATTTAAAGTAAGTTCAACAGGATAAATTTCTTTAGTATACATACTGAAGTCGTCATTATTGAGAGCCAAAATATCATCCAAATATCTAAAAGTATTATTAAATTTGTGTATCAGATGTTGTTTCGATGGGTCTTTGCTGATTTTTGTCATAAATTGTAACTATTCATTTGGTTAGGACTATTCCATAAAATAACATACATGGGACTCAGGGGTGGCATCATGAAATATCAACTATGAGCGGGTGTCAAATACTTTTTTGGACAGTAAAAATGTAGCATCTATAGGCAGTTACCCCATTTTCAATGTGCCTTGCCTTGGTACCTATGTTTAAAGGGAACAGCCCTTAGATTAAATCTTCTGATTTTTTTCTAATCAAAATACAAACTACATTTGTAACTGTAGTTACACATATTTGAACTGATATATTTAAGGGCTGAACTCATAAGATATAAGAAAATTTTGCTAGATATAAATTGATATTTCAGGACATATTTTACTATTGGATTCCTATCTTTAATGTTGAAAAGATGTTTGTTAAAAAATACTTTCCAAGTTCAAAGTTTGTTATGGTTTTGTCCATTTAGGTTGTACTTGAATAAACAAATCCAATCATGCCATTGTAGAAGAGGTTCTATTAACGAAAAAACTTGATGTGATTTCATTTTTCTCAAGCCTGCTAAATTTATTTAGTGAAAGCGAGACATAGAGATCATAGATTCCGTTGTCGGTAGTGTCAAACATTTAGGCTCAGTCTGTGGTTGAAAGTTTTTTAAGATATCAATAATTTTGTCAAACCTTCATTGAATTTTATGAAATTTGGACAGAAGCTTGTTTATGACCAAAATACAGTATTAGAGCAAAATTTTGAAAATATTTATTTTCATTTTACCCTATTTTGCTGATAAATGAACTTAATTTATTTCACAGTTAACAAGAAGATACAGTCTGGGGTTAAAGTTTGTTACATTTCAAATACTTTGTCAAACCTTCATAGAATTTTTTGAAACTTTAGCAGAAGCTTTTTAATGATTTAGAGATAATGCCTGATGCAGAGTTTTGAAAATATATTTTCATTTTTAGTATTTTTCTGATAGATGGACTAATTAGTTTTTTACAGTTAACATTTACAGACAGTCTGGGATTAAATTTGTTTTACATGATAAGTTTGTAAATCTTCATGGATTGTTATGAAACTTGGACAGAAGCAAGAAATAGAATCTAAAAAATAAGTTTTATTTTTTTTTTAAGTTCTGTATTTTTCTGATAAATGGACTCACTTTTTACGTCAACATAACACTTTTACACTGACAGCAGCAATCGTAGGCGAGACACAGGGTTCCGTGGAACCCCTTACAATTTTTTATACGACCGCAAAAAAATTTTGTGGTTGTATATTGCTATGAAGTTGTCGTCATTGTCGTCGTGGCGTCCGAAGACACATTGGTTTTCGCACTCTAACTTTAGTTTAAGTGAATGGATCTCTATGAAATTTTACCACAAGGTTCAATACCACAAAAGGAAGGTTGGGATTGATTTTGGGGGTTATGGTACCAACAGTAAAGGAATTAGGGGCCAACAAGGGGCCAAAAATAAGCATTTTTGTAACTTCCAGACATAACTTGTGTGTTAGTGTATGGATCTCTCTGACATTGTACCACAAGGTTCCATATCACAAAAGGAATGCTGGGATTGATTTTGGGGGTAATTGCCTCAAAATTTTAGGAATTAGGGGCCAAAAAAGGGGCAAAAAACAAGCATTTTTCTAGTTTCATGACAATAACTTGTGTGTAAGTGTATGGATCTTTCTGAAATTGTACTACAGGGTTCCATATCATAAAGGGAAAGCTGGAATTGAGTTTGGGGGTAATTGCCGAAACGTTTAGGAATTGGGGGCCAAAAATAAGCATTTTTCTAGTTTCCAGACAATAACTTGTGTTCAAGTGTATGGATCTCTCTGAAATTGTACTGCAAGGTACCATACCACAAAGGGAAGGCTGGGATTGATGATGGGGGTAATTGCCTCAATATTTTAGGAATTAGGGGCCAAAAAAGGGGCAAAAAACAAGCATTTTTCTAGTTTCAGGACAATAACTTGTGTGTAAGTGTATGGATCTTTCTGAAATTGTACTACAAGGTTCATTATCACAAAGGGAAAGCTGGGTTTGAGTTTGGGGGTAATTGCCCTAAACGTTTAGGAATTTGGGGCCAAAAAGGGGCCAAAAAACACATTTTATAGTTTCCAGACAATAACTTGTGTTCAAGTGTATGGATCTCTCTGAAATTGTACTGCAAGGTACCATACCACAAAGGGAAGATGAGGATTAAGTTTGGGGGTGATGAATCATAAGGGGGTTCAAAAAATTTTGGGGGGGGATTTTTTTTTTTTTCCTTTTTTTTTTCTTTTAAAATTTTCCATTTTAAGTTGGTTATTTCTGATTTATATTTAAAAGCAAATAATAATGATATGGTAGGAGATACACACCAATTGCAAACAGGATGTGTAAATTATTATATAATAAGTATTGTGCAATAGCAAGAAATTTTCAATTGCACAGTATTGCACAATAGCAAGAAATCTTCAATTGCACAGTATTGCGCAATAGCAAGAAATCTTCAATTGCACAGTATTGCGCAATAGCAAGAAATATCCAATAGCACAATATTGCGCAATAGCAAGAAATTGTCAATTGTACAGTATTGGGCAATAGCAAGAAATATTTAATTGCACAGTATTGTGCAAAAGAAGATACTTCGTATATATAAATTGCTTATTTCTTGACCAATTTCAATGGGGTTTTATTCTTGTATTCTTGGGTTTCTTTAATATGCTGAATCTAACCGTGTAGTTAGTTTTTGGATTTTGGGCCCCGTTTTTAAATTGGTCCACATTGAGGTCCAAAGGGTCCAAAATTAAACTTTGTTTGATTTCATCAAAAATTGAATTATTGGGGTTCTTTGATATGCCGAATCTAACCGTGTATTTAGATTCTTAATTTTTGGTTCCGTTTTCAAATTGGTCTACATTAAGGTCCAAAGGGTCCAAAATTAAACTTAGTTTGATTTAAACAAAAATTGAATTCTTAGGGTTCTTTGATATGCTGAATCTAATCATGTATTTAGATTTTTGATTATGAGCCCAGTTTTCAAGTTGGTCCAAATCGGGATCCAAAATTAAACTTTGTTTGATTTCAACAAAAATTGAATATATGGGGTTCTTTGATATGCTGAATCTAACCATGTATTTAGATTTTTGATTTTTGGGCCCCGTTATCAACTTTGTCCACATTGAGGTCAAAAGGGTCCAAAATTAAACTTTGTTTGATTTCATCAAAAATTGAATTCTTGGGGTTCTTTGATATGCTGAATCTAACCATGTATTTAGATTTTGGATATTGGACCATAATAGGTGAATGTCCAATTTAAAATTTTTAAGTTCTTAGACCATATTCATTCTGTGTCAGAAACCTATGCTGTGTCAAATATTTAATCACAATCCAAATGCAAAGCTGTATCAAGCTTGAATGTTGTGTCCATACTTGCCCTAACTGTTCAGGGTTCGACCTCTGCGGTCGTATCAAGCTGCGCCCTGCGGAGCATTTTATTTTATATTTGAATCCTGGTTACACACACTGTGGTCTAGTAAAATATTGAATATTTGCTGGCCAGAATGACCACTGAAAGTCTGAGACATGATGAATTACCGGCAAAAAGTTTTAAATTAGAAGATTCGAAAGATATATGTAAGGGCTCTTCCAGGAAAATCTTAGATATATGGGTAATTTTGGCATAAAGTATATATGGAAAAAATCAATTGGTGGTGGGACTTAAAAAAACATATTGAACAATGTACCTTTTTCCTAAACAAATAAGAACATTTAAAAAGACATATTTTCACATTGTTAGGGCAGAAATATGTATGTTATTTAATTTTCCAGATCATTGGACACACTTTAATTTGTCGTGACCATAACAATGTTTTCACATTTCAGCTGACTCCACCATTGAGTATGAAAACTAATCCAATGAACTGTGTGACGACAAAGTTTATAAGAACATCAACAAATAAATTCAGATGTCCAATTTTCTGTCTTGCTGTAAGTATATATTTATATTCCTTCTGGATGACTTATGGACCATGGTGAGCTCGAGTGAGTGGTCTTTAGAAGTATAAAAAAAATGAGATGTGGTATGATTGTCAATGAAATAATTATCCACAAGAGTTTCAAATGATGAAGATAAAAGTAATTATAGGTCGCCATTTTATCTTTAAAAATGAGAACAAATCCTAAAACCAGAGGTCTTTAAAACAAATTAGAACGAAGCAATTTACGAAAAATAAAAATGACAGAAATGAGCTATCAACATACAACCACTGAAATACAGGCTCCTGACTTTGGACAAAATAATGAGTTTTCTCTCGTTTGAATTGTTTCATGTCAGGGACTTTTATAGTTGACTATACAGTACTATTTTTGCTCATTGTTGAAGGCAGTATGGTGGCGTATAATTGCTTACTACCACTTCATTTTTAACTCTGGTGATTAGTCCTCATTGGCAATCATACCACATCTAATTTTTTTATATCTTGTCACTTTTTTTTCTCATGTACAGTATTATCTCTGTTTTTTTCCTGTATATATTATGAAATGCAAAGTGAAAAAGATCAATGATTAGTGATGAGGGAAAATGTTAGAAATTAGAATTTCAAAAATGATGGATCAAGATCATCTTATTCATTGTTAATGATCTTATTATTCTAATTTCAGTGGACACCAGAAGGAAGAAGACTTGTAACTGGGGCATCCAGTGGGGAATTCACTTTATGGAATGGTTTAACTTTCAACTTTGAAACTATTTTGCAAGTAAGTCTCGTCAGTTGTATAAAGTCCTTGTTATCTTAACACTATTTATTGAATCTTTTTTTTTGCATAACAGGACCATGTTTACTGTAAAGAAATATTTGTTTGCGAAGGAAACATTTTGGCTTATTATGCTTTTAAGATAAAACCCCTTGTGTACCAATGTCTGAGAAAATTATGCAATTTTACAAAAGTATGTAGTTAACAAAAAGACATTAATATATTCAATAAAGTAAACCTATTCTTAAGTTTTTTATAAGTAACTGTATGTAAATGATTAAATCAATGCAATGGAGACATTTTTCAAGGAACTTTGCTGTCAATATAAACAAAGAACACAATAATGTTATGAACAAGTTTTAATGTGGATTCTATTTGACATATTTAGATTTTTCAATGACTTGTCACTGAAATACTAAGACAATTTATACACATTTTCTTACAATTGTTCCCTTTGTAATAGTTTTGCAAAATAATTCCATAATAAAAAAATCATACAAATGTTATATGAATTACACAAAAAAATTGTTACCTAGAACTGTAGAAGTTGCTTTTGACTTGAAAAATTGTTTTAAAAAAAATCATTAAAAATGCAAAGTTAGTATTTGTCATAGTTTCATACTTGTCTCCCTTTTCTTCATTCTTCATATACCTTACAGAATTTAGGCTATTTCAGTATGCATAAGTTGTTACAGTGTTCTCATTTTGAAATAAAGCCATTGGATTTGAAAAAGTAGTATATTTAAAATACTATAGGGTTATTACACATTATTGAGAAATATTTTTCTTTAAGATAGCTGGCCATGGGTTGTATAAATGTTCCGTGATAGATTTTTCTTAAACTTCTGTAAAAGACTTCTAGGTCAATGTTCTTTGAAATTTCAATATATAAACTGAGGGTCACAGCCCTTGTTTTTCCGTTTAAAGATATTACAGTTATTTAAAAAGGGTTTATATAGGGGAAACTTAATTTTTCCTTATTGAGGAAACATTAAACAATAGAATTGGTTACTAAAATTCAATGAGAGAATTGCTTTTAATTAATACTTCAGAATTACCAAATATAAATAGGGCTCATTGGCCTTATTTTCCTGAAAAATCCCCATAACACAAATTGTCTTATCAATTATCTGCCCTTGATTTAAAAAGGATTTTTCTAAAAATTTTAATTCAACTAACATACTTAATTTTTTGATAGTTTTATATGTTTCTGTTGTATATTGAATAAAATTGGGTAGAATATCTTTAAACTGAACAATATTTGTGCAACATGCCCAGAAGGGATGCATAGAAAAAATACCCCATCTATCTTAATATCAGAATATAAAAATGCCTGTACATAGTAAGGAAACTAAGTCGGATTCTGGCATCTCTCGTGGCTTGCATTCAAATATCGTTTTACTCAGAACCTCTCTAATTTGTACCAAACTTTCAGGAGAAAGTATTGAATGCAATATCGATCAAGATGCAAATTTCTAACTCATCGAAAATTTTCTTTTGTAATGCATATTTATAAAGGAAGACCAGTAAAAATATCTGCAAATGCTGCATATTTTTTTTTACAAAAAAATCCATATGAAAGATTTGACACCATATTTTAAACTCTATTATAAAATAGATTTAGTTAGCACTATGGTAAAATATATAACTTAGCACCATGATAACATGGAGCTTTATAGCTGAATTGTAATGGAATTGTAATGGAAAGGAAATATAATTCTTTTTTTCAGGCCCATGATACATCAGTTCGAGCAATGGTCTGGAGTAACAATGATTCTTGGATGATAACTGGAGATCATTCAGGATTTATCAAGTATTGGCAGTCCAATATGAACAATGTAAAGATGTTTCAAGGACATAAGGAGCCCGTTCGTGGGATCAGGTGGGATTCTGGACGTAAAGTAACCATGGCAACCATCCTCTTGATTAGGATTGAAGCCATTATTGTTTCTACGTTATATTATTACAGAATGTCCGCAGACATGTTGATTTACTGTACTCTTGCATATGAGTTTCAAATAAAATCTGATATTTTACGAGAAAATCGGCCAAAAATACAAGAAATATTCTATGGGGAGGCAGTGACATAGAATTTTTTAAATCTTTGGCAAGTTTGGAAATCTGTTTCTATTTGATAAAACATTTACCAGTGTTAACTCTGGATACAAGTATAACAATTGGGAGAAATCTCATATGCAAGAGTTCAGTTGTTCAGTTTAAATATGAATATGTGAACATTGACAAATGGTTGATAGTTTGTCAGATCAGAAATGCACAAAATAAAGGCGCAAGCCCTTGACAAGGAGGTACAATAGTTTGATAATAAAGGCAGAAGCCCAAGTATTTATAGACAATCTTGTATGTAGGGACTAAATAAAGGCATTGCCCACGTTTCTTCAGTTTTTTGCATGTTTGTACATGTAATGATAAAATAAAGGCATATTGCCCAGTTTGCCCAGAAAAATAAAGGCATATTGCCCTGTTTGCCCAGAGAAAAATAAAGGCTTTAAGCCCATCTCCCCTGTTTATTTAGATTATGTAATGGTAGAATTGTATAAAAAATAAAGGCATATAGCCCATTGAATTATCATTTAAGTATATTTTGTAAAATTTGAAAATGTGTATTAACAAAAATTTTGTTAAATTGTGATTCTGTATTTGATTTGGCTTATTTAATAAAAATTTGAAAATCACAAAACTTTTTTTGTTCCTCAAAATCCGGATAGATCCCATGCTTTATCATACATCAAAATTATGAAGGGTTAGAAAAAATTGCAAAAATGCCTTTCTGCGGGAGTATAATAACTGATCTGACTGACATGAAAGAGATCCATTGTTTTAGGTTTAGATGAAGAAGAGATTTGGTGCAGCTCTCATATACATGTATTTATTATGATTTGTAGGTGTATCATTAAAAAAAAATACAAATATAAAATGTTTCAGAGAGAGACCAGGCCAGTAGCAGAAAACAAACAAAAATAATAAAACAACACACCTTCAAACGCACCCATATTCACCAGGGAGAATTAACAATATTTGTCCAGATATTTTGATTAATTAATTTAATGAATTAAGAATGGGTTTTGAAAAGTATTTCATTAGTGACATAATGTATTCTTGAAGTTTTTACACATCTCGTGTTTCTATATTTCAAGTATAAGATTGCTCTTGTGGCCATGATGGTTGTGTACAAATAAAAAAAATGCACTTTCACATTTCAAAACAAAGATTTAAAACTATTATCATTTGAAAGACATGCATCCAGATGAATTCATAAACCAGTGTACAATTGCATAGGCTTAAATTATATGAGTGCCATGTGAAATGACAACATTGTCCTTATAAGTGTGACATCAGGGTTTTGATACATATATGTTAGATTCACAACACATACATGATAAAACTAGTTTTCTTGAACACTTGAGAAACTTAATAAGTTGGCTCGGAAAGTTTTTGTATGTGAGATATCCAGGACACCAGTGCTAGCCTACAAGGACTACATTAAATTTAAATGTAGGCATCATTTCAATACAAAAAATGTTATGAAAAAAATCGATGGTAAATGATGAATTATAAACTGATGATAATTTTTAGTCGTAGGAATCTTCGTGCACAGAGTTGGTCTTAATAACTGAACCGGTTTCTTTGTGCAGTACATAAATATTACTTTCCTTATGTTTGTTTAAACAGCTACCATTTATCAGTTCACTGTACTGCCTTCAACATAGTAAACAAGTTATAATGGTTCTAATTAAGAGACTGTTACTCTATAGAATGTTGGTAACTCGACACAATTTTGTAGTTTACATCATATAGTTTCTTTCTTTGATCATCCATTCAATGCTCGGTTGGCAGAATTTAATAGCAAAACACACTAAAACCTAAATGGTATAGTTACAGATAATTTTTCTTTTATAAGAGAAAAAGAATAACTTGTAAATGTACACGAGACCAACAATGCTATGATCAACTGATTGCTGCTTTTATTGGTGTTCCTCATTTGTAGCTCTAAGAATATTGGATTTTGAATACAGTTTAGTTACCTAAATGTGCTGTGCTCACACTTGTGTACCTGAAATTGTGTGGGATCTGTCTGTTAGTGTAATCCACCAGGGAATAAGAAATTAAAATCAATTTAGTAAACAGACAGATATAGTCTTTTTGACTATGAATATTTAGGTGTATTCAGTCATTTTATTTGACTACCAAATGACGAACAGCAATCAAAGCACTATGCTTTTGATATGTTAACATTTTTATTACCAGTGTCACTTGGGATTTTTGCCTTCTGGTCATCAAACTGTTTTTGACAGTACACCATTTTGAGATTTGCATCTTCGGTATCATGCATTGTTAAAGGAATTTTGTTTATTTGGATTAGTTAAGAGACAAGCTTACAAAAAATCACAATGTGCATTCAACATGTGATCTGAAAAATATTGGACTGGTCTTGGTTTATATTTATCTACATTTGAAGAAAAAAATAGTCAGTCTGGTGGAGTCAAGTCTTATTACAAAGAATCTCGAGCCATCGCTGTAACATTCTGTATACTGTGTTTTTATTTACTTGTATTTTCATGGATACTTGATTTCATGGTTTCATTAATTCTTCATTAAAAGCCTATTGAAAATTTCTTTTGTTTAGGGAGCAACCAATTAACTTCAAGGGGGGGGTTATGGTTTTTTGTCCGAGTAGGATTTCTTTTTTTTTTTTTAGTTTTTCGATGCTATCAATCAAATTATTTTTTTTCAAAATTTAACACTATAAGGTATGTGGAAAATCTGGATTAAGAAAAAATTTTTTTTTCATCTTGACCACAATATTTTTTTTCATCAAATTGGGGATCAGAATTTTTTTTCAGGAAAAAACCATAACCCCCCCTTGAAGTTAAATGGTCATTCCCTTAAATTTGTGATAATCTTCAAACATCAATCCATGAAATAAAGTATCCCATGAATAATGATAAATCCACAGTTCTTTAGTTGATTTAAAAGATGGCATAAACTTGAAGAAAATGGAATCCCATGTAAAACTTTCTTTGTTACACACAGTACATACCCGGTACTTAAAAAAAAACACCACCTAGTCGTGAAAACAGAATAGAAATTAATTAAAACGGAAGGGAAAACTAGCATTCAAAACGTATCAAACTAACAGTACATGCAATAAACCATGAACAGAAATCGTTCCAACAAATATTCATTACACATGAAATTAACAAAATGTATTTTCTCAGCTGATTACAAGAAATGTATGACAATAGCTGGGAGTAAAGAAAAATAAAAAAGGGAATAGATAGAATAGAAGAATTATTGTTGTTAAAACTATCTTTATTTTAATCTTGCTTTTCTTATGTTCTCCTGTCAATGAAATTCTTGTGAATGGTGCAGGCAAATTTTAAGGATAGGTGTTGCTTCTGTGTGGTCTATTTATATCTGATATTGCTTTCATAAAATGAATGCCAAATTTTCATAAAATGGTTAGCAGTTGCCATAAGATAATTTCATTACTTCTTTTTCTTTGGTTATTGATGATGAATTTGTCATAAAATTTCTACCATGGATGAATCTGAAACAATAATATAACCATGCACATTGTTTTTTCCTCTTCCCCTACAGTTTTTCTCCATCTGACAATAAATTTACGACTTGTTCTGATGATGGTACTGTACGAATCTGGGATTTCCAGAAATGCCAAGAAGAGAAGATTTTAAGAGGTATGTATTTCGTTTCAAAACTTCTGGTCCTGTTCAAAAAGCGTAAGGACCATACCAAGCTTTGATCTATAGAATGTTTTTATGCCCCTTGGGCATTAAGTTTTACACTTGTCTGTCCGTATGTTGGTTCCAAAATTAGTTTCCATTCTCTAACTTTAGTTTGCCTCAACCAAATGTTACAAAACTTTTTCACAATGCTTATTACCACCAAAGAAATCAAATTGAAATTTGGGTGGTGTCACCTTCATTGTTCTTGAGCTGTGTCCCTTTGAAAAATTGCAAAATTTCCCGTATATTTTATACCCCCGCTTTAAACCGCTTTAAAAAGGGGGGGGGGGGGGGGGGGTATGCTGTTTTACCTCTGTCTGTCCTTCCGTCAGTCCGTCCGTCCCATGAATATTTTTGTCTCATTTTTCTCAGGAACTACTTGACAAGGATTTCTGAAATTTGGTTTCAGGGTTTATATAAGCAAGTTACACCGTGTGATGCGTTTTCAGATTCATCACTCAACAACTTCCTGTTTACCGAACACTTGTATTATTTTACACGATAGCCAAGTTGAAAATTTTCGTCACATTTTTCTCAGGAACTACTTGACAAGGATTTCTGAAATTTGGTTTCAGGGTTTATATAAGTAAGTTACACTGTGTGATGCGTTCACTCAACAACTTCCTGTTTACCGAAATATTTAGGCGGGGTATCATCAGTGAGCAGTTACTCATAGTTTTACTTGTTTCAAATTGGGGCATCTGTGTCCCATGCATGGCCACATTCTTCAGTTATTTATCCTATTTCAATGTATCTCCAATTAAGTGAAAAAGATATTTTGATGCTAGCATCCAAATTAACTGTTTGACTTAGTTGTCATAAAAAGTTCAAATGTTATGCCCTGCCCATCGTAGTAGGATCTAGGGGCCATTATGTTTTCTGGTGCATGTCTTTTCTAAATCACTTTAAATACAATAAAATTTTTAGGTAAGGTAGCTAACAATGAGTGGTGGTCACATCAACTTGTAATTTTAATAGTATTATATGTTCTTTGTAATGTGAACTTATAAAAATACATGCCAAATTAGGGTTTTGAACTTTTGACCAATTATTTACGATTCAGTTATAAATTGATAGAGCAAAGGGGCACTGTTGACACATATGATACCCCAATTTAGGAGGGGGGATGAGGCTGTATTGCATTCACCTTGATTAGAAGTACATCTAGCTGTTAGTCTTCGTGCAACATATAGTTTTGTCACACTTTTCTCAGTTTCTGCTGAACAGAATAATTTTTTTGCAGTTCCAGGTAAACTTTTTTTGAAAACATCAATAACATCCTTATAAAAGTCCAATATAGATTAAGCAGCTGTAGAAAAGGGGTTTTAATAGGTCCAATTTTCTAAAAATCTGCTTTTTAAGAACTTCTGAACCAACTGAAACAAAATTTGCCAGATATATTCTTCTGCATATCATAAACAAACTTTGTCACATTCATTCTGATTAGAAATTCAAAATGGCCACTAACTAAGGTCAAAGATTATATTGAAACCCTATGGGAAAATATAACTGGGCTTTCTTTTCAAGAACAGAGCACATGAAATGAAAACAAAATATGCAAAAATGTTCTTTAGATGCTACTTACCAAATATTGTTTCTTTAGTCCTGATGACAAGTCCAATATCTCCCCAATGGGCAGTTAAGGGGCCAATAAGGGGGCCATTGTTCCAATTTTCAGAGAAGTTCATTTCAAGAACTATTAAACCAATTGAAACGAAATTCAAAAGGGATGTTTCTATGAAAGTCTTTAACAAGTGTTGTTTCTTTAAAATATATGTAAAGCCTGCAAGCAGATGTCAAGTTATCATTGAAACACTATGAGCAACTAACTTTTAAGGATGTTCGCTACTCTGTTTCAAAACAACAAGCTTTTTAAAAGACTGTTATAAATTGATAGTATATAAATGAAGGAACTAAAAAAGCAGAAAAAAATGAAGGGTCTGTGTGCTTGTTTTCGAGATATAAGCCATTGAAAATTTGGCGGGAAATGATTCTCTCTAGATTTTTCATACATTTAACATTGGCACCTTTTTTCTTTCAAAAACAATGAAAAAATAACAAGGATTCTATAAGACTTTCAAATATGGCTTTTTAAACTATATGTATTAAAATTATGAAAAGTAAAGTAGGGGTTAGTGAGCAAAATTTTGAATGGCACTACATGGATAAAACCAGAGGATTCCGATTATCTGGCAAATTATCAAAAACTAGAGGAGCGAACATCCTTAAACTTCTATATAAGAACAGATATATGAGGGTCTGGATGGGGGTTCCTTCATTTCTGTAGTATAGTCCGTTTGACTTCTATAAATCTTCAGAAAATAATTCTTAAAAATTCATTTTTACAAAAAAACATTTTTTTTCTTGATGTATGTTAATGTATGATATATACGAACTCTGACTATGAATATCATAATTTTAGGCCAATAATAAAAAAAGTTACCCATTAGGTCTCTATGTTACTCCTATTTTTTTATATAAAATACTTGATGGAGTAAGTATGAATAGTGTAACAGCCTTCCATTCAAAACAAAAACATAAGACATGTGCTTTAAACCTGTTTCATTATACCATGTGACTTTTCTCATTTAAATAATGCTGACCAGCAAATAAACTTGGACTTCATTTAAGTTTTATGTGAAAAGGGGAACTTTTTAATAAAATTTCTAAACTGAATTTTGCATAAAACTACTTTGTAGTTTTTAAAAATGTTATACTAGTAATGTCCATTGGAAAATATTACTAAGGTTACTCATAGAAATTGAACAATGAAAAATACAAAATCATGTATACAATAAGTTCAGTAATCACATGACATAAAACTTAAATGAAGTCCAAGTTTATTTGCTGGTCAGCATTATTTAAATGAGAAAAGTCACAAGTCATACTTACTCCATCAAGTATTTTATAAAAAAAAAAATAGGAGTAACATAGAGACCTAATGGGTAACTTTTTTGATTATTGGCCTAAAATTATGATATTCATAGTCAGAGTTCGTATATATCATACATTAACATACATCAAGAAAAAAAATGTTTTTTTGTAAAAATGAATTTTTAAGAATTATTTTCTGAAGATTTATAGAAGTCAAACGGACTATACTTAATTTGTTTAGGCCATTTTCCTCAATTCTTTATATTTTAGCACATCATTATTCTCTATTCTTTATTTTTTTGGTCCATTTTTCTCTAATCTTTATATTTTATTGCCCTTTCTTCTCTATTCAGTAAACCCCCATCCACACCCTCATGAATGGAAAAGTGCACAACTTTATTTTATTTATGAAAAGATTGGTCTCTAGTGACGTCCGAAATTTTACACAAACAGTTGGAGTGTAATTAAATGGGGATTATTCAAATAGTCAGTGAGGCATTTCAGAGATTGGCTTGCTGTCATTGTCTTTTATTCCATGAATCTTTTCTACTTTAATTGTCTGTTTTAAAATCTGTCTGAGACTAATAAATAGATTTTAGACAAACTCAGGCTGAAAGGGGTATCTTTTGAATGAAATCAATTGATGGGGGTGTCATTTTATGGGTTCACCCGCAGTTCTAGTTTCCAATTGTTAACAAATTAGGCATCAAATGATCAATTTAAGGAGAAATGCTTGAAAACCCTATCCACCTTCAAACATGACACCCCTCTTAGGGAAGATAAAGCAATCATTAGAAAATTTGTAAATTGAAAAAGGGTAAATATTGCAACGAAATTAATCCCCCCAAAAAGTATGGACCATCAAACATCACTTTAACAAATTCAGATTTAGACAAAAAAATATTTTGATACTCTACTGATTGTATTTTAAAAAACAGAGGGAGTTGAGATCTCAAAAATCTAGTTTAATCCTGCCAAAATAGGAGAGCCTGTTACAAGTCAATAAACTCATCAATAATGTCTCACATCATGATTAAATCTGATTGTATTTTAAAAGGGGGAGGGTTGTGTTCTCAAAAAATTAGTAAAATCCTACCGTATATTCAAGTGCAGGTTCCAAATCAATAAACTGATCAATGGCTCTCTCACTTCATGATCAAATCTTTTATTACTCTACTGATATGATTTTAAAGGGGGAAGGTTGGGATATCAAAATACTAGTTAATCCCCCTCAAAATTTCAAATGCCTGTTCTAAGTCAATAAACTCATCCATGGTTGACTTATGTCATTATCATATTTTAATGTTTTTGTAGGTAGTTATTTGGAGATTTTGTTGTTACTGTCTAATTTAATTCACACTTTTTTGGATGATTTAGAGCATGAAATAACTTATTGTTGAAGATTGAATTGCCCTCTAAATGTGTCATATGGATATTATCTCATTGAGTTATGCCCCTATATCTTTAATTCATAAATAAAATTATGTAGTAACACTTGTTATCACTTGTTGTCCCTTTCATGAAAAACCTGATAACAGCCATCTTTAGGGTGTCTACTTTAAAAATTGTGTCAATGATGCTGCCACACAGAAAAAAAAACATGGCCATCATGGCTAAAAATAAAACATGAGGGTAGAATGCAAGTTATCTTGAATCCAGTTAAAGATTGGAAATCTATTGGGACAAAAATGTGTAGAATGTTGAGCTCTACCTCATGTCTTTTTAAACAAATCTAAGTTCTCTCAATTAATGAATATGATTTTACAAGTTTTTGTATTTTTGCCTTATATCTTGAAAGTGTTAATAGGCCAGAGTTTCTGTAAACAGCTAAAATGATCAGCAACACATGATCTTTAAATAAGGAGGAATTACCCCAAGTCATGACATTTATCCATTTTGGCATTTTTGGCTGATTTGCAAGATCAATGCAGAGTGCATGGGTGGGCTGGGGAAAATGGGTTCCTTTTTTGTGTAATCAAGTCATCCTAAAGTTTTCAACCCTGATCCTTGAAAATCAACAGAAACATTGCTCTCACACTGAAATTGGGCTTCTGATATTAAAGAAATGTTTGAGGAAT